AGTCATGTGCCATGTGTGTGTGAGTTTTACTGTGTCCATGTTTCATAATTGATGCCTAGAACTTGTCCTGTGTGTTTGCAAAGCAAAATAGCAGTCTCTTTCAGTTTGAGAAGTGATATAGGCATTTCTTTGTTGAGCCAGACATATAAAGTAAATCCACCTGAATGCAATACATCTTAGTTAACCCCGTTGAGCCTATAAGCCTAATTCTTTGGCAACCACATTGCGAACCTTACCCAATTGTTTGAATAGCTTGCTGTTTGAACCCTTTTACCTCCCACTAAGCACTAGAATGGTAGTGGGAATATGCAAAAGCAAAAGTGTGGAGTGGTGGTTTGGTTTTTTTTTAGTGGAACCATTGAAATAGAGAAAAGGTGCAGAATGCTGAAGCATAAAAGAAGAAGCACCACGAAAAAAAAAGAAGAAAAAAAACAAAAACAAAAAGTTAGAAATAAAGATACTGGGTGATGAGTGGTGGTTTGTTATAATTGCACCTACTGGATGGGGCTGTTGTGAATAAAAGAAGAAGCGGTGGAATGGTTGGTTGACAGAAATATGGTCTTGAATGTTAATGTAAGTGTACTAAAAAGTGCTTAGGGAGGCTAGTCACTATATCTAAATATATCCTACCCGTCCCTTAGCCTACATTACAACCAAGTAAAGTCCTATTAATCTTAGACTGAGTGGGGCTCGATTAGTAGAGTACTACACTACGGGCAATCCTATGGTGCATCTTTTGTGGCATGTGAATGTTCTTTCTGAGAGTGAGCGAATTTTGTCAATCTTAGTTCCTACTTGTTCTAATTATCATTATATGTGGAACTACTCTCCTGTGTGATGTGAGGGTATGTGATTCACGAAGGAAAGGTAAGTCTTGGCTCTTGTATAGAGTAGTTTGAGTAAGTACAAGTGTTGCATGGTACAAAAGGTTTGACTCTTGAGGTAAAGGTTGTTCACTACTAGGTGCAACTTTGGTAAAATATTCATGGTGTTAGTCGTTGAGGGAAAAGCTTAGGGAAGGAATTTTGATGGAGTAGTGAATTGTTCGAGGACTAGCAATAATTTAAGTGTGGGGTGTTGATAGTAGGCTATATAGTTGATATTTACACCTTAATTGGTCATGCTTTGTTGTTGTTTTATAAGGAAAATTACCAACAAAATGCTTTAAATAGTGTTGCCAACAAAATTCTTTAAATAGTGTTCTTTGGTTTCGCAGGGAATATTATATGTGAGAAAGCAACACGAAGTGTTTGGAGGCAATAATGTGAAGAAAACACCCACTCAAGAAGTACCCGAACACAAAGGAGCAGAAGAAAATGGCCTGGGCAAAAGTCCACCGCGACCGCGGTGGACCGCGGTGCGACGCGGGGGAATAAATCACAAAAACAGAATGGGCAGTGTTCACCGCGGTCCACGCTGCGAGCGCGGGGAACTATTCACGAACCTGGAAATTTGGGGCCAAAGTGTAATTTCGGGGAAACTTTTGTAAAACCCTTATAAGCTGTAGAAACTCGCCCAAGAGGGGGAGAAGCTTGTTTTTAGACTACTTTTGGAGGCAAGAACAAGTGTGAGAGATCACCCAAAATATTATAGTTTCTTTATCTCTTTTATTTTCTTGCAATTTTACATTATGAACAATTTAGTAGTTTTCTCTTACTTTGTTATGAGTAGCTAAATCCTTTGTCTAGGGTTTTGATGGAACCTATTGAAGGATGAACTTCTTGATTATGTTAATATAGATTGCCAGTTTAATCTCTATTTGTTCAACTACGTATTTGTTGTAGTTAATTGACAGGATCCTCAATTAGCTGTGCCTATTTAGTGTGCATAACTCGGGAGAGAGTGCATATTTAGGTAGTTGTTGAACAACATCACTCCCAAGGTATAAGAGGGATCTATAACTGCGGGTTTAAAGGCGCGATTAGGGATAACGAAGCCTTGGGTGCAATCTAAAGTGAGCTGTGATGAACGAAGCCAACTAGCATATCTCGGAGAGTGCGTCTAGTAAATTATTGTGATTACTCGGGAGAGATTTACGGTAAAAAGAGTGCTCGTGATTGATAGAGATGTTTTGGTGAATCTATATGAAACATAACCGGAAGGGATTCATCAATAGGGGAAATCATAGCCTTAGAACCTTCTCATTATTGTTTAAAAACCAAGCATAAGTTAGTTTTTAGCTGTCTATTTAATTTCAGTCTTAGTTATTAGTAATACCATCAACTGTGATTTACAACGTTTGGGGAAGTTGATTCCATAGAATTGAGTAAGTCCGACGAAGGTAACTGATAGGTTAATTCCCTATGGGTTCGACTCTGGGCATAAATACTTAGACTATATTTGCAACGTCCGCGTGTCTTTTTATAAGGCAGAGTTGGGCGTGATCAGTGCACATGTTGTTGTTACGGAGATTTTTAGGTACATCTGCCGCGTCCGCAGACCAAGGAGTCCCCCTCTATATTTGTATAGTTCCTCTTCTAACTACTGATGTATAGAACAATTAGTAAATTCTTAGAAGCTTGTGACTTATGATGCTACGAATTTTGGGAGATTTTGTATGTATTCTTTTTGGGAGTTGTTATAGTATATGCCGAGCGGCATTTCTATCAATTACTTCATTAATGTTGATGTTAGTGGTTTAGATTTATGTTTTCATTTTCGTTGTTTTTTCACAATATTTGGCTTACCTAGTCGTAGAGACTAGGCGCCGTCACGACGTCTTACGGAGGGTAAATTGGGTCGTGACACAAGTTTGGTTTACTATTTTTCATGTCACCCATGACATCTTTGAGAGGTTCTTTACCTTTATAAATGATGAAGTACTACTTCATTTGTAATACATACAAAAAGGATAGAAAGAAAGAGCGAGGCATCATAGACAGGGTAAAAGAAAATAGTCTGTGAGAAAAATAGAGTGTGAGTGATATTGTTGTAAGGTGGGAATATCAAAAGAGGGTTATTTCTTGAGTGTTGTAGTGGTCTTTGGACTATTTTACTCAGACCTACAAAGTGTAAAATTCCTTCCTATAGTATATCAGTTGCTCCTCTCGGGCCGTGGTTTCCCTTATTCAAAAGGGTTTTTCACGTAATAATCTTTGTATCGTTGTCACTCTTTTATTCTTGTTGATTACCGTATCTCGGTTCTATATTATTTTCCGATTTTATTATCGTGAATATTATTTCTGTGATGGTTTATTCCTAATAACTGGCATCAGAGTACAAGTTCTGCTCATTCATAGAAGTATTATTCACTGTCGGTAGCGCTATACTCAGTGAAAAAAATATCCGGAGTAAAGTACGAGGCAGCAAAATTCAACGGAGATAGCGGTTTCTCAACATGGCAAAGAGGGATGAGGGATCTGCTCATCCAACAAGGATTACACAAGGTACTAGAAGTTGATGCCAAAAAGGCTAATACCATAAAAGTTGTGGATTGGGCTGACTCGGATGAAAGGGCTGCTAGTGCAATCAGGTTGCACTTATCAGATGATGTGGTAAATAACATCATTGATGAAGACACCGCATGTGGTATTTGGACAAGGAGGGAAAGCCTATAAATGTCTGATAGGTTATATACATCCTTGTTATATTTTGATGATCTAACAAACTTAATAATAAGAACCAGATAAGGAACCTGTTACACATCCTCAAATACTTAAGAACAACAAGTCTCAAGTCGGGGACGTGGTTCAACTCTTCAGAATCAATGGAACAACAGAGGGAACAGATGGCTACCAATTCCCTTGCTAACTGTACAAGTCAACTCCCCACAGCTGTAAAGTTGTTGCATGTACACGCAACAGTACAAAAATGGTGCAACAGTCAACTTTATGGGGAATGCCCTTTTACCTAACATGCTTGTATAAGTCAAATGATGTCACTAATGTAATATTAACATCAAGTAAAGGTAAAAAAAACACTTGCACGTTCAAGAATCTATCAAGCATTGTCTCCACTGTGCATCAAATCCTGCAAGTGATTCTCAAGGGCATCAAGAACAAAGAACAACATAACAAATGACCAGTTCCCTGTAGTGAGTCATTACATGTCCTTAGTTGTGTTGCACCTTTGTTAACGTACTTTACTTGTAATTCCTACTTAGCTTAGTTAGAAGCATTATGTAGGAAACCTTTTTAAAATCATAAACCTTGTGTTTGTGTCGTGGCTAGAGTTAGTCGAGTTGTAAGCTTTATAATAGAGTTATTATAATGGGGCTTGTAATAGAGTTGTTAAAAGTTAGTGAGGGATTAAGAGGTTAATTCCTAGGTTACAATAGGTTGTAATCTGAAGTTTGCTCAGTAGTGAAGTTGAAATCCTACAAGGGTAGGTCGTGATTTTTAATTCCGTGAGCTGGAATTTTTCCATGTAAAACTCCATTATGTCATTTACTTACTGCAGTATGCGTGCGTTCTGTGGGAACTAATATAGAACCTTGTTCTCTATATAGTTTGGTGGACCTTTAGTTTCTATCTATTGGTATCAGAGCGGGTTCTTTCTATCAGGCTAACACCTAGAAAAGATCCTCATGGCTGCTCCACCAAACTTCGAAGAAGGTCAATCTACCTACATACCACCTAGATTCAACGGCCAATACTATGAATGGTGGAAGACAAGGATGCATGATTTCATCATGGCTAAAGATTCAGAATTGGGATATATTATCTGCGATGGCCCGTTAGATCCTACGAAAACCATTGGTGAGCCAGCAGTGACAGTTCCTAAAACAAGAAAGGAGTTTAACGATGCTGATCGCAAGGCTGTTAGGAAAAAATTTCGAGCAAAAAAGATTCTCGTGTGTGGTATTAGACCAGATGAATACAATAGGATCTCAACTTGTCAATTCGCTATGGAGATCTAGGAAGCTCTCAAAACAGCACACGAAGGGACAAGTCAAGTCAAGCAATCGAAGATTGACATGTTAACAACTGAGTATGAGCTCTTCAGGATGAAGGTTGATGAGTCCATTTAGGACATGCACACTCGCTTCACCTCTATCATCAATGAGCTACTCTCTGGGAGAAATCATTCCCAGTAACAAGCTTGTCAGGAAAATACTTAGTGTATTACCTGTTTCCTGGGAAAGCAAGGTAAATGCCATCACAGAGGCAAAGGATTTGTAGAAGCTGACCATTGATGGACTCGTTGGTAATCTAAAAACTTATGAAATAAAGAACAAGGACAATGAGAGAAGAGATCCCAAAAGGGAGAAGAACCTAGTCCGCAAGAAAGACAACAATGACTCAAGTGGTGAGGATGCTGATATGGCCTATCTGACAAAGAGATTTCAGAAAATGGTTCATAGAAATGGAGGTATTCCAAAGAGGGGAAGTTCAAGCAAGCCAAGAGGGTATGACCTATGTCATAAATGCGGGAAGCCAGGACACTTCATCAAACACTGACCTCTCCATAAGCAAGACCAGTGCAAGCACAACACAGATAAAGGAAGCAAAAGGAACCAGATTACGAAAATAAATTCAAGAGAAAAGATGGCGTTGACAATATTATGAAACAAGCTCTTGATTCATGGGGAGACTCCTCCAGCAAATCTGGAGAGGGTGATGATCAAGGAGACAACTCTATGATGGCAGTAGAAAGTGATGCAGCTGAATATGATTCCATCTTTGCTCTACCGGCAAAATCAGATGAGGATGAGGAAGATGACGTTAATGATGAGGTAAACATTATGGATGTTCAAAGAAATTTGAAGTCTTATTCTCAAAAGAAGCTTATATCCTTAGCTAACATTTTAATTGATGCATATCAGTCTCATTAACGATAAAATGTGCTACTGTGGACCTTGGAGAAGTAGAACATGAGAGAGATGATCTAGTGGTGGTTGTGGTCGATCTAAAAGATACCATTGAGAGTTTAATTGGAAAAAGATATCTTGACTGAGAGAGTTGCAAACATAGAGCATGAGAGAGATGGCCTATTGGTAGTAGTTGTAGACCTAAAGAAAATAACTGAGGAACTAAGAAGGGAAAGTAGGCATATGAACACTCAAAAGGGAAATGAAGTTGCAAGTGTGGCACACCTTAGGCTTGAAAATGAGCTAAAATAAGTGAAATCTAGACTGTGTGCTGAACTTGAGAGAAACAGAAAACTTCAGGAAGATCTAGGCAGAGTGAAAAATGACCTAGAAAAATCTCTTACGTGGACCTAGTCCTCTGATGCATTCAGTGCTATGTATAAGAACAATGGGGGAATCGGGTTCCAAAAGGAAAAAAAATCCTACAACCCGCATAGCTGGTACGTTAGATATAAGGTTAAATGATGCACTTGGTTGAAGGTTGAGTTATTTACAAAGAGGTATAGGGATCAATTCCTACTAGATACTTTACACACATCCCTCTATGCCAGTCTAGAGAGATAGGATCTGGTAATTTTTGGTGATCTTGAGGCGATTAGAGAGAGAAAGTCCTCCCATGACCGCGCTGGCCATTGCCCAGCCTTCAATGGAGCTTGGGCAGTCGTCTTCCAACCTTAGACCAAACACCTCCTAACCCTATACCAATCCAAAACTACGCAAAATTACTCCAGCCCCAAACATTAAATGCTCCTACGCACGTAAACACTATAAACCTAAAACCAGTCGAGTTTTTACATGGAGAACCAATGGTGAGATGGAAGAAACCAGAGGTTAAACAATCAATTGTGCAGCAAGGACTTCATCTAGCAGTTCTGGGCAAGTTTTTATATGGCAAACCAGTGATTCAAGAGTTGAGGAAGGCAATCCCAATCCAGTATGAACTTAAAAGGATTATGTTCGATAGGCTTGATTGAAGACACACGTGTTTTGATCAAATTATCATTAATGGGGGATTATATTCATTTATTGTCCAAGCCAGCATTTTATGTGAAGGTTCAAGGGGAGATTTGGAAGATGAGATGCACTAAATGGAGTCCATGGTGGTCTCCAGATGTTGAAACACCTATTGCAATCACTTGGATCTCTTTCCGGGACCTCCCTCCTAATTTATTTGGTAAGGACTTTGTTTTCTCATTAGCTAATGCAGTAGGTCTTTGATACAAGACCTAGTTGTGCTAAGGTCAAGGTGGAAGTAAATCTACTTGCTACACTGCCACAAAGAATCAAGATTATTGAAGAAGCTGATGAAACTGGACCTGAGGAGTCTAAATGGATCAAGATAAAGTATGATTACATGCCTAAGTACTGCAAGACATGTAATAAACAAGGTCAAAATGGGGGTGAATGCTTGGTAATTCATCCAGAATTGCACAAAAAATTTAATGAGGAAGGTGATGATCAAGGTAAGGAAAAGGAAGTGGTGGCGCGTAGTGATGTAATTAGGACTGCTACTAACACTTCTAAGGTGTTGTCGAGTGGAAAAGTATTGGGGAAACATATCCCTAACCCAGCAAAGCAAGAATGGATGCAAAGAAGGAATAATAGATTCCATAGAGACAAAAATGGCCACATTATTGAAGCTGCTAGTCAGAACGAAGGTGACAAATTAAAAGGGAAAGCCAAAGAATATGAAATTGTTACAAAGAACTCTTTTGATGGTTTGGAGGTTGAAGAATCAGACAAGACAATTTTGAGAATCACTGAAGGCAAGGGTGAAGAAAATAGCAAGGACAAAAGCCAAGAAAAAGGCAAGGATCAAGCTAAAAAGGGGAAGGAGAAGGAGAATTTGAATAATTCCGAAAATCCTAATCATACTTCTAATGGAAGTGGGAGTAGGGAAGCTGGGAAGGAAGGAATCCCAAATCCTAAGGGAGAAGGGATTAATAAACTCCAAGATCTAATTCATGTGAAGAAAGAAGCCGTGGAAAAGGTTCTTGAAAAGGAAAAGAGTGGGAATCATTCTCCTACTCCTACTGGGAAAGGAACTAAGGCAGCTATAAATGGAGTTGGAGATGGATGTATTAATATTTTCGATGGGTCATCCCCTGGCCTACTGGCAATGGGGGTAATGAAGAAATTATGAAGGAAAGAACAATGGATTTGGTGACAAGAAGGCTCGATGCAGCTCGTGAAGACATTCATGTCACAACTAATTACTCTTGTAAAGAAATTCCTACACAAACATGTGGTGATAACTCACAAGGTTTGGAAACTTCAAAGACTTTAACTGATGCCAAGAAGGCTTGAGGTGATGAAGTTAAGGAAGTGGAGAACACAAATGTAGGAGAATTGAATGACAAAAGCAATGCTCAAGCTGGAAATTTACAAGACTTAAACAAAGGTGGTTTGGAAACCCTAGCTTGAGTTCTAAGGTTAAGCAATCAAAGCCATCAATTTGAGGTGATAGAGGATCATAAAATGAATCTGGAAAGCAAGGTGGATCAGCTCAATTATCATTGAGCAAGAAGAAAGGCAATGGAATAGTAAACCCTAGCAAAATATGGGAGATTTTGGCCTTCGTTGATGGTATTTCAGTGTATGCATTTAGGGAATTGAAGAGGATGTTAATATGAAGTTTAGGGATGATACAATGGAGTCATACCAAAAAATAGGCAAAGGTAAGGGTAGTGATCCTAATGGAACAGTGTTTTCTGCGCAGACTACTACAGTGTTTCCTGAACTTGGCAGTGTTTATGAATTGCAATTCAAAATAATGCAGGCTATTGTTTCTTCTATGGAGCAGAACAAGGGGAATGAACATGCAAAGGAACAATTTGAACAAGCAATTGTACCAAGATCAGCTGAGGAAGTAAAAGCAGTTCCAATGGCTTGTGAATCTGGCACTGATCAGATCATTCAGTTGCAACTTAATGTTTCATTGAAGACTCCGTTCTAGGACTTACATGATCTAGTTGCACACAGTGTGGCACCAGTAGGGGAGGATATATTGAGGAAGAATCATATGGAGGAAAGAAGGAGATGATGAATCAACTGCAGGCGATTTCAAACTAGTGGCAAGGGAAGCTGACTTATCACCTATAGCTAGTGCAAAGACAGGTAAGAAGACAAAGAAAAATTCGAATAAAAAGCCACTTCCACCTTCAAGAATAATTCCTAGGAGGGCAGCATCTCAATCTAAATGATGATGATCAAAACACTTATTTGGAACATAAGTTCTGTGAATACACAACAGGCCTTTCCTAGAGTGATCAATATGCAAAGGAAGCATAATTACTTTGTCATTTCATTGATGGAGCTATTTCAGAAGAAAGGTTTTATACAAAGATATAAGAGAAGGTTGAATATGTAGATTACTTACTCAAACATTAATGGTAAGATATGGTTGTTCTTTGATGCTATGGTAGAATGGGAGTTGATGATGGAGACTGAACAACAAGTAATTATCAAGGTGTTGCATCATGAGTTAGGGTAGCACATTATAATGACATTTGTATATGCAAAGTGCTCAGCTATAGAAAGACTGGAACTATGGGACAACCTATATTACTTGGCAAGTGACATGGAGTTACCTTGGCTTGTAGAAGGGGACTTTAATGTGGTGTTACATGAAGATGAGAAGATAGAGGGATTTCCAGCACACCCTCCTAAGTATGAGGATTTTTCTTTTTGTATCAACTCTTGTGGTTTGTTTGATCAAGGGTACAAAGGGAGTCCTTTTACATGGTGGAATGGGAGGCCTAATGCAGAGCGTATATGCTAGAGATTGGATAGGATCTTGGCAAATTTGCCCTTCCAAAACATATTGCCAACCATTAAAGTGGAGCATCTAATCAGAGCTGGATTAGATCATGCACCTTTGCTAATGACATGTGGGGAGCAGACTGGCAATTTTGTCAAGCCATTCAGGTTCTTGAATTTTTGGGCAAAGCATGCTACATTCATGGATGTGGTGAGGCAGAATTGGGAATCTGATTTCATTGGAGATCCTTTCTTGATGTTCGAACATAAGCTAAAGAAGGTAAAGGCAGCTCTATCAAAATGGAGTAGGGAAACATTTGGTGATATTTTCAAGCAATTGGCTATATTGGAAGACATTGTAAGGGTGAAGGAAATGTTGTTTGAGAAGGAGCCTACTATACAGAATAGGATTGTACTTCAAAAAGCTCAATCAGAATTGAAGAAGTATTTGAGCATTGAAGAGCAATATTGGAAGCAAAAAGATGGGATGACATGGTTTGCTGAGGGTGATAAGAATACAAGTTTATTCCACAATCATGTCTATGGAAAGAGGAAGAAGTTGCAACTAAAAAGAATTCAGACTGGAAATGGGGTGTGGATTGAAGAACAAGATCAATTAGCTAATGCTGCAGTGAATTTCTATCAAAGGCAGTTCATAAATGAAGGTGATACTACTGATTTCTCATTGCTAGACAATGTACCTTCTATGGTGACCTTGGAGCAGAATGTTGAGTTTAGTAGATTGCCAACACTTGAAGTAGTTAAGGCATCAGTTTTTGAGCTTAGTAGGGAGAGTGCTAGTGGTCCTGATGGATTTACTGGCCTATTCTATCAAGCATGCTGGGATGTTATTGGTGTTAACATACACAATATGGTATTGCACTTCTATGGAGGAGCTGCACTGCCTAAATCTATCACTCACACCAATCTAGTGTTGCTGCCAAAGAAACCTAGAGTGAAGACCTTTTCTGACCTAAGACCTATTAGTTTGAGTAACTTCATCAATAATGTCTTGTCTAGAGTGTTACATGATAGATTAGAGAAATTTTTGCCTTCCTTAATATCTGCAAATCAATCCAGATTTGTGAAGGGGAGGAGTATATTTGAGAACATCTTACTTACTCAAGAGATTGTGACTGATATAATATTAAGAGGCAAGCTAGCAAATGTGGTTATTAAACTTGATATGGCTAATTCCTATGATAGAGTTTCATGGAAATATTTGTTACATGTTCTAAGGAAGATGGGATTTTCATAACACTTCATCATTATGGTGTGGAATTTGGTGTCAAACAATTGGTATTGAGTGTTGGTGAATGGGCAGTCTTCAAGGTTCTTCAAGTCTACAAGGGGTGTGAAGCAAGGGGATCCACTATCTCCAGCCTTGTTCATATTGTCAACTGAGGTACTATCTAGATCATTGAATAAGCTCTTTGAAGATAAATCTTTTGTTGGATTTGGGATGCCTAAGTGGTCTGATCCTTTGAACCACTTGGCTTATGCTGATGATACTATAATCTTTGCTTGTGCTCATCCTCCATCATTGAGCAAAATTATGGCAGTGTTGGAAAACTATGAGAAGGTATCCGGCCAAATGGTCAATAAATCTAAAAGCTCCCTCTATATGCATTCTAAGGTGGCACATGGGCTATTTCAGGCAGAGGTGGCATTACTAAATTTGCAAGAGGTAAATTTCCCTTCACATACCTTGGTTGTCCTATTTTTTACACTAGAAGGAGGAAGGAGTATTATGAAGATCTCATCAAGAAAGTGAAGGCTAAACTACACTCATCGAAAGGCAAGATACTCTCATTTGGTGGAAAAGCAACACTCATCTCTAGCATCTTGCAAAGTATGCCAGTTCATATGTTATCAGTTCTTGATCCACCTAACAACATTCTGGAACATCTTCATAAGCTCTTTGCTAGATTCTTTTGGAGTACAAAGGAAGAAGGTAGGAGCAATCATTGGTCTTCTTTGCAGAATCTTTGCCTTCCTAAAGAGGAAGGGGGTCTAGGTTTTAGGTCCCTTCATGATGTTTCAAGGGCATTATTCACTAAGCTATAGTGGAGATTTAGGACTACAAAGTACTTGTGGTCCAATTTTATGGGGAACATGTACTGCAAGAAGGATTTACCCATAGTTGTGCAATTTAGACAGGGGTCTCATGTTTGGAGACAAATGTTAAATGCTAGGGAAGTGTTGAAAATGAGATTCTATGGGAGATGAAGAGTGGAACAACAAACATATGGCATGAAAACTGGACTGGATTGAGAGCTCTATATTTGTACTACCTGAAGATTTTCCAATCAATGAGGACCTCCAAGAAGCGGGAGAATTGAGGCAATGAGAATCATGGAATGACCAGTTGCTTGACGAAAGTTTTACTAAAGAAATTGCTGATCATATTAGGTCCAATGTGCACTATCAGGGCAGTGAGGAATACTGGGATAGACCATACTGGATGCCAACTCCTTCAGGCAAGTTCAGTTTTAGTAGTGCTTGGCAAATACAAAGGCATAGGGCTGATCCTAATCAGAAGTTCAAGCTAATGTGGATAAAAGGACTGCATTTCAAGATATCATTCTTTTTGTGGATATTGTGGAGGCATAAAATAGCTAGTGATGATATTTGGAAGAGGCAAGGGTAGACGGTGATGTCTAGGTGTTGGTGTTGTCAGCAGCCTCAAGAGGAAACTATAGAGCACATATTTGTAACTAGTCCTACTGCCTCAAAGGTTTGGAAGCTATTCATGTGAGCTACTGGAATTACTGTACCTTTGATTCAGTTGAAACAAGTTATAAGGCATGGTGGAATGCACAATGTTGTCTAAAGTTGAAGCCATTGTTCCAGGTAGTTCCAGCTATCATCACTTGGGAGATATGGAAGAAAAGAAATGCAAGCAAACATGGAAGTTTACTGTCAACAAATAGGGTGATTCATGAAGTAAATAGGACATTACATCAATTTTCAAGGGTGAGGTATGCTTGGCTATCTTATATTCCATTGTTATGACCATATATGATCCATTTCTTTAAAGGTTACAAACCTATATTGATACAAGAAGAGTAACACGGCAGCTTCATCATTATGGTTGGTACAAGTGCAATACTAACTGGGCATCAAAGAGAAACCCTGGTCCTAATTCCCTAGGATTTTGTGTGAGGAATGATGAATGTGATTTGGTGTATGCTAGGGCATTGGACTTAGGGGTGACTACAAATGTGGTAGGTGAAGCAAAAGCAATAGTTCAAGGGCTTGAATATTGTGTGGAGCATGATCGTCATCCTCTTATTTTGGAGACTGACTCATTGGTTATGAAGAAGGTGATTGAAGGGGAACGGGATCCACCATGGATGTTGCTCCGTATGTGAAGAAAATTAAGGACATGAGGGACAACTTCAATATGATTTTCCAACATGTGTTCAGCAAAAACAACTCAGTGGCAGATTTTATAGATAACATTATTTTCTCTTTTGCATGTACAACTGAATTTTGTTCATTTCATAAACTGCCTAGTGAAGTCAGGAGGTTGATCAATCTAGAAAAGTCTCAAACACCTAACCTTAGGGTTAGGATAGCTAAGACAAGATCCCCGGATTGATGACTTTATCTGGTTTGATCTTGCACTTTCCTGCTTGGTTCTCTAGGTTTTTCCTATACTATATACTATTAGGGTATTCTCCAGTGATATTAGCATGGTTACATGCTCATTCTGGAGGTGCTTTGATAGTGACATGAGCTCTTACATAAGCAGGTTGTGGATAGTGCAGTATTTCCTAATTCTAATTTTTCCAAATGTTAATCGTCAGTCTAAGGACATAGGTGGTATAGCTTATTGTTACCTTCATGGTTACAAGGTTCTTGACAATGTTCTGGATATATGGTTGTTGCAACACAATAGCTGGGATCCAAAGACTTAATTAGGATGGTTGTTGGTATATGTGTGTATTACTAGGATGTATCCAGTGGTATTGGTGTGTTTACATGCCCAATCTGGAGAAAAAATGGCAGTGCATATATTTTCCCTCTATTGAGGTCATGGTTGATGAGTTTTAGAGACTTTTGGCAGCACTTAGACACTATTAAGTTCACCATTTTTCGTGAGTTCAGTCTCCTGGATATTGCACCTTTCATAAGGTATATAATTATGCGTTGGTTTAGCTCATCATATGCAGGAATCTAGAGGTATTGGCT